CGAGGTTGAGTTTCCATACACTGTTTTCTCATTTTTCAGAAAAATTTCTACAGGTTAGAAATTCGTGATATTTGAAGTTGCTCGGAATCACGATCAGATCATACTGTTAGATTCGTCTCGTCGAGACGAGAAATCTAGTATTTTTGGGGAATTTTTTGGCCATCAGAAGAGGCCGTACGCGCCGCCCAAACGCCGCCTAGAATCTGTTTGCGTCATCACTGCGTCATCACGCAGCCCAGAGGAAGAAGACGAGACACATCATCGCCACGTCATCAACGCGTCAGCGCCACGTCAGTCCACGTAAGCGCCACGTCATCCGCCACGTTGTACAAGCTATCTGTTGGGCGCCACGTCAGCGCCACGTCAGCGCCAGCTGTGTCCACGTCACCAGCCTGGGTGTCAGCACACTGGGTTGCTGCCTGAACCGGACCGAACCGGTTCGTAGTTGTGGAGGCCGGTTCACCCATTTCCAGACTGGTTTTGGATGAGGTCAGACCGGTTCCTACCATTTTCGGCCATTCCAGATCCAACGGTGAGCTCCGTTTGTCCAAATTCGGCTCTGAAAATAAGGTACGAGATATTTTGAGCGTTTTATTATGGATAAATCATCATCGGACACCATGATTGCGCTCACTTCCACAAATTACAATATGTGGAAGCCTCGGATGGAGGATTTGCTAAATTTGAGGGATTTAGCCGATCCTCTGAATAATAATGGCGTGAAACCAGATAAAAAGACGGATGAAGAATGGACAAAAATGAATCGAAAAACTGTCGCACAAATTCGACAGTGGATAGATCATAGTGTGTTCCACCATGTTGCGCAAGAACAAAGTGCTTACACACTATGTGAGAAGCTTGGTAGCATGTATCAAGCAAAAACCGCCAGAAACATGATGTTACTAATGAGGAGATTAGTAAACCACAAGTTACGAGGAGGTATTTCGGTGTCAGAACACACCAGTTGAGCACCAACGGATGGGTTCTCAAAGATGAAGAGCAGGCGATACTACTCTTGAGCTCTCTACCTAACAGCTGGGAGACTCTTGTTGTCACTCTCAGCAATTCTGCTCCCAATGGCAAGATGACTATGCAAATGGTCACATATGCCCTTATGAACGAAGAAGCTCGAAGAAAAGAACCCGGGACTGAACAATCATATGCCTTCGTGTCAGAAACCAACCGGCGAGGGGGAGGCAGAAATGGAGGAAAAAGTCGAGGTCGAGGTAGAGGTCAAAGTCAAAACAGGGGAAATTCTCAAGTTCGCGGCCGATCACAAGAACGAGGTATGTCCTGTGAAAACAATACTTGGTTTGAAGGATATTGCAACTACTGTGGTAATTATGGGCATAGAAAAAGAGATTGTAGAAAGTTTCTACGAGAGCAGCCACAGATAGGGGTGGGCGCGGTCCGGTCCGGTCCAATATTTGGCCGAACCCGTACCCGTACCGTTACTATTCAAACGGTTCGGTTCGGTCTTAGACCTAAACCCGTTCGGTACGGTTTCATTATGAAACGGGACGGTACCATGTCATACCAATACCAAACAATGCCACTTTTTCCAAGTGTTTAAGAGACAATTAAAGTTTAGTCGTCCTCCAAAAATCTACACAATTTATCAATTTTCATACTCATTCCATCCCAAATTGACATGCAAAGTCAATATTTTTTGGTCAACCAATGTTAGAGTTAAATTCTCTTCATTGATAATTAATTCAATTTGTATCAATTAAAGTAAACATATTCAGAAACTACATTGAAATTTCTTCAAAGTTGCAAGCTCCAAATTAAATATAATTAAAAATTGACATTCTAGTTAAGTGAATAAAATGAATCTGTTTGACAAAAACAGGTTAATTTTGCAAATCAATTTGGGACGAAGGTAGTATTACATAATTAATAAATTTCAGATAAATTATAATAGTACAAATTTAAATGATTAAACCATACATCGGTCCGATTCCAGGTTTCCTATGAACTAGCAAAGACGGTGAAAATGTAAAGGCACTAGTCAAAATAATGGTATAAATGTAAATTTAAATAATTAAATCATACTTCGGTCTGGTTCGGTCCGGTTTCGGTTCTCATTTTATGAGAACCGGTCATGGCATTGTTTAGAATCGGTACGGTTCGGTTTGGGACAAAAAAAATGAGATCCGTTTCAAACCCCGTTTTTCGGTCCGGTACCATATCGATTCGGTTCGGTACCATGCCGGTTCGGTATTTTTGCCCACTCCTAGCCACAGACGAGTCAAAATACTAGCCAAGAAGACGGTGAGACCATGGTTAGTTTGTCATCAGACGTATGTCTTGTTACACATGGTGAACAAAAATGTTTACACGTAGGTACTCATGATGTTGAATGGGTGATTGATACAGCCGCATCATTTCACGTCACTCCACACCAGAATTTATTCACATCTTATAAGTCCGGGGACTTTGGAGCTGTGAAGATGGGAAACACCAGTTTCTCGAAGATTGTTGGCATTGGTGATGTGCACATAGCAACCAATGTCGGATGCGCACTTGTGTTGAAAGATGTTCGACACGTTCCGGATCTTAGATTGAATCTTGTCTCCGGTACAGCTCTGGATCAGCAAGGATATCTTAACAGATTCAAAAAAGGTACGTGGAAGTTATCCAAAGGTTCCTTGGTTGTTGCAAGAGGCCATATTTGTGGTACTCTTTATAAAATTCATGCAAAGTTGTGTCATTCGAGTCTCAATGCTGTTGAAGAATAGATATCACCAACATTGTGGCACCGGAGGCTAGGCCACTTGAGCGTGAAGGGATTGACAACTCTTGCAAAGAAGGAAAGCATTTCCATGGGCAAAGGTGTTGCCCTAGATCCATGTGAGCACTGTCTATTTGGGAAACAACAAAGGGTTTCCTTCAGTTCTACCAGGAAGAACCACACAGAGTTACCCAGTCTTGTCCACTTTGATGTATGTGGACCCATTGAAGGGGAGTCACTTGGAGGAAGCAGATATTTCGTGACATTCATTGATGATGCATCACGAAAGGTATGGGCTTATTGTTTGAAGAGTAAGGATCAAGTGTTTGATCGCTTCAAATTATTTCATGCCATGGTAGAAAAAGAAACAGGGAAGAAGCTGAAGTGTCTACGTTCAGACAATGGAGGGGAGTACACTTCCCGAGAGTTCTCAGCATATTGCGCCGCATATGGAATCAGACATGAGAAGACGGTTCCACGAACTCCGCAACACAATGGTGTAGCCGAAAGAATGAATCGGACCATTATGGAGAAAGTTCGTTGCATGTTGAGTATGGCTAAACTGCCTAAGCCATTTTGGGGTGAAGCTGTGCTGACATCTTGTTATCTTATAAACAGGTCACCTTCTGTTCCTTTAAACTTTGAAGTACAAGAGAAGAAATGGTCAAGGAGAGATGTTTCTTACTCTCACTTGAAAGTGTTCGGGTACAAGGCATTTGCACATGTGTCCAAGGAGTTGAGACAAAAGCTTGATCTCAAGACAAACCCATGAATCTTCATCGGCTATGGTGATGAAGAATTCGGATACCGGTTGTGGGATCCCGAAGTGAAGAAAATTGTACGAAGCAGAGATGTTGTATTTCATGAAAATGAGTTTCATGGGTGTGCTCCAATAATATGCAAACAACATACTCCAGAAGATGAAGTGCATGTATCATCAAACATTCCTCTCAGCGACGAGGAGATGCATGATACTACTGAACAAGAGAGTGATGGTTCAGTAGGTTATGATGATACTCACAGTGATGATATTCCTCAGCAGGGGGAGCCTTCATCTGAAGACGAAGCTGAAGGTACTCATGTTCGACGTTCTATGCGAGGCATAGTTCCACAGAGAAAGTATTCCACATCCGAATGGATACTTGTCAGCGAGGGGGAGCTAGCGAGCATCGCATGAATGAGAGAAACAAAGAAAAAGGTGGAGGGGGGATTTGTAGAGAGTTTCCACCTTCTTTCTTGGAAGTTGCCAAGAGACATGTCACACCTTCATGGAAGGAGCTCTCCAACAAATAGGTATGGGAGAATATATGGAGAAGATGGAAGCATTACCTTTTGTCTCCAAACCAGCCCTATAAATAGAGTGCTCCATGTTGTTCATTAGTATCAGTTTAGAAAGTGAGAAAAGTGTGTGAAGAGTGAAAATACACTTAGAGTAGAAGTGTATTGGTGAGGATTGGTTTTTTGTAATAGTTGAGTGTGAGAGTTTGCTCCTCCTATTGTAATTCTGTTCTTGATATTGAATAGAATAATTTTCCAATCCCAACAGGCCGGGCCTCGGGCCACTTTGTATATTTTTTTCCTTTTTCTAATTAACCCCCCCCCCCCCCCTCCCCAAACCACCAAAAATGGCCCAAAATACACAGCCCAACCCGGATTTTAAAAAAAAAATGAAAAAAATAATAAAAATTAATAAAGCCCGAACCGGGCCCGGCCGGACCGGTTCCATTTTCAGCTGACCCGAGCCCGCCATTCCCTAACCAGCGGGCCGGGCCTACCCAAACCGGACCGTAGCGGGTCACCGGGCCGGGCCCAAACAGTACCGGTCCCGGGCCGGTTCCGGGCCGGGCGGCCCGACCCGAGTTCAAGACTAACTTGAATGCAAAACAAATCAATTGATTGGTGAGTTGATCATTTCAAATTGAGAGGGAGTTACCCCTCCGTCCTGCAATTAAGTTCACACTTTACTTCACACAGATCAAGAAAATAAATTTGACCGTACTGTGGAGTGCACTGTTTAAACACTGTTTCACACCATTTTGATGTAGATAATTTGCCATATAAGGAAAGTATTGAAGAGTGAAGTTAATTTCGGGAATGCCCAAAAAGGAAAGTGAGAAGTTGTTTACGGGAAGAAGGTAGTATTTATTAGTCTTATAGATTGTCTAGGGTTGCAAACATGCAGATGGTTCAACGGAATACTTTGATTTGTACAAAAATGTAATTTTGCGTTTATAGAACATGTACAAGTCTCATTTTCCAGCCTCTTATTTGGAATGATCATTATGTGAGCTTAAATTTACACTACCGAGAGGAGTGAACATTTGAACTTGCATTGGAATGGATTTACACGTAGTATAGTGAGAGGCTAATAAACATTAGTCAAGCCATCAAAGTGTGGAACATTCCATTCGATAGAAGTTTAGAACCAAAAACTTTACATGACAAAATCCTGCTTTAGCTGCGTGCTGACTGGTTTGACTTCCAAAACTGCGTCAACCCCTTTACGCCGGATTTTCATATTCGAGAACCTTTGACGGCAAAACTCTCGCAAATGACAAAGGTCATGCAAAAGTTGAAAGTATTTGGAAGAGTACATATGGGTAGCAATTTCTATTGATGTCACTTCGTCGTATGCATCTACGCATAACAAAATTCATCTGAGAAATTACTAGTTTATCAATACATAATTTAACTAAATATCTGAGAAACAAACAAGGTTGTTCAATGTTGTGATAATTGACAGAACAAACACAAGACTATAGATGTTTGAGTTCCGCTTTCATCTTCTGATTCAAATGCTGTTAAGGATTAGCCCCAGGAAGCTACCAACTTCACTTCCTGCAATATCATCTGCCAAATTATGAAGAAGTTAATATGACCGCTACATTCCATCTCCAAATTCAAGTGGGACTCATTTACTCCCTCCCTAAGCATAGTGTAACAAAGTTGGCATTTAAATAAAAACCGGGAGTCCAAGACAAGTAAGGGCTTCAGCACAACTGCAAATAGGAAGAAAAGTGGGATCTTTGTGTAAGGCACCTGTAATATTTGTAACAGACCACCATTAACATGGGCCTAGTACAAAAGTGGGTTGGGATTCTTCATCGTGTAAATGGTAATTCAGAAGTGCCTTAATCTTAAATGACACAGCTAAGAGCATCCTATAGCGTTAGCTCATTGCTGTTTTATGGTCATGTAATGGCTGATAGTAGGTTTATGCTCATATTATATTAGGGGAATAAATGAGATCTTGAACACAGTTTGACTCAACATTCCATCTTACAAGATCAACCTATATTAGCTTGGAGCATTATATTTGACCAGAATGAAATGACTTAACTCGTCATGTAAAATGTTGGCTCATGTCTTGTGTGCTTGTTTTTTAGTCTTAGTCAAATAGTTGCTCCTTTGAGCTTAATAGGGTTCCAACTTAAAAGTCAACTTAATAAAAATAGTCCAATGTCTTATAAATTATATGTTGATTTGTATTTTATATTTAATATTTCACTGGTGTGGAATAACTTCACAACACTAACTAGAATTTGTTGAGTTAAATCCATCTTAATTCTGTGCCAATCATCTTGGGTAAATCTTATGCCATTATCACACTTCAGCAATGGAAGAAGAGGTAATGGAATTTACAACTTCTTTGTAACATGCCATTTCCCTTTTGGCTCCGATATCATGCATCTATTCATGTTAGCCGACCCCAAAAACTTTTGGGACTAAGGCTTGGATGTTGTTGCATTGTAACATGTCATTGATAAATTTCATAATGGATATTAATCTGTCATATGCACAAACAGATAACTTCCCTGTGGAGGTTAAGTGACTGCTTTACTTGCTACAGCAGATTGAGTACTTAGGATCTTTAAGGAAAACAATTGTTCTTAACATTCTCAAAAACAGCCTAAGTCAAATTGTTTCTACACCTTTATTGTATCTCAAGAGTCATTAGTTTCTTCTCGGCTTCTTAAAGAGATTGACAAATTCACGCCTTATATCCTTAGATTCCACAAATCGAAGTGCCACAGTTATATTCTAGTCATTTTCTTTCGCAGAAGAGTTAATTAAACCATGACTCAGATCCTTTCACTGTATGTAAATGTAATGCGTGCTACACTTTATGAAAGAAAACAATCATAATTAACATATCGTCGAACAATTTGAACTAATTAGTATTGTGAAGAAATACTTGGAGTAAATTGTTAGAAAGCAGAATTTATGATCACAATATACCTGGATAACGCTACCAAGATGCTTTTTTGACTCCCTGGAGAGCACCCTGATTGGCTAAGGCACGGAAGACGATCCGAGACATTCGAAACTTCTCGTAAACAGCACGAGGACGACCCGTGAAGATACACCGATTCCTCAATCGGGTAAAGGAGCTATTCCTGGGAAGCTCCGACAGTTTCTGACGGTGCTGCTCACGCATTTCCGCCGGAAGAGAAGGGTCGTTACATATAGCTTTGTAGAGCTTCCTCTTCACTTCACATTTCGCCGCTAGAAATCGGCGTTTCTGGTCTAGGATGTTTCTTGTGAACTTTCCCACCTTCCCCAGACTCATCTTCTCTGATCGTGTTGGATGGATTCAGCTGCCTGATTTTGGGGGATCTTGAACGGTAGTTCTGATTAGGGATGGCTAAAGTTTAACGGCCCATAAAATCGATTGAAAAAGGGCCTCCGTTTATTATTGGAAAACACTTCTAACCCATTACGGAGTATCGTATTTGTTCAATGATATTGTAAACTCTTTACTTCTTTAGTTGGGATAAAATTTAAAATTGTGACCTTCACTTTAGAAAGGCAACAACGATATCACTAGATCATAAGATTCTAATTGATTAAAAAAAGACATTTTTTTACAAGATTCTAATTGATTTAATATGTGTTAATGAATACAATAATAAGAATTAAACTCTGTATCCAATCAGCCTCAGTGTGGGCTGTGTGGCAATACAGTCTGGTCTAAATCTGCATTCCGTCAAGACATTTTAAACTTTGTATCCAATCAGCCCCAGTGTGAGCTGTGTGGCAATACATTCTGGCCGTATATATTTCAACAACTGTAAAAAACTAAGCTTGCTACAGCGTGAAGTAATCAGCAATTATGGAAAAATGTATTTAGTCTATTAAGTTACGAAATGCGCAAAAAAGGATTTGGTTTTGTAAGAAAATGTAAGATGTTGACGTGTTGAAGAAATTATAAAATGAAGTCCATTTGTGTTTGCCATATTTTTAAGAATTTAAGCTTGAATTAGTGCTTTAAAGGTGGAGATAAGCTTGTTTACGCAATTTCGCATCATAAACTAATTATTTAGGTCATTATTCATTACTAAAGTAAATATTATTTGGGTCATCATTAACCGTCAATGCGTCAATTATCAACAACTTTCATCATTAACAACGCTATGAACACCGGCCTTAGAGCAACTCCAACAAGCACCAAATCCTACACCAAAATGGTGGATTTGCCAAAAAAAAATGCTCCAATAGCCACACATCTCTTACACCATTTCACCATTTTGGGGGAGAGGCTTTGGCTTCACGCCATATATGGCGTACGCCATATACAACACCATCTTCTTCTTCTTTTTTTAATTTTTTTTATTTCAAATGTGACCCAAAGTTTTGATTGTTATAGTTTTGACCCATTTTTAAAACAACAACTTAGGATGTTTTTATTTGAGAGAAAATTAGGATGTTTTTACTTGGATTGAAATTTGTTGGTCCGCTCTGGTCTAGCCTGTTTTGGTCTGGTCTGAACTGATGTGGTCTAATCTAGTCTGAACTGATGTGGTCTGGTCTGATTTCTCTGTATTTTTATAACTACCCAAATTTGGTCTAATCCGGTCTGATCTGATCTGAGGCAAATTACAGTCCAAGTAAAAACATCCTTATAGAACAACAACTTAAAATTATTAATTTGATAGAAAAAAAAATAAAATTTAAATCACACAATATTATAAATAAAGTTTCAAATCCAAGCAACACAATAACAGAATACAAATGGTATTAAGAAAATAACATAATTAAAATTACAATTAATAACACCATTATAATTAAAATTAAAACATAATAAAAAACATACATAGTACATACTAATTTAGAAATTAGTAGTCATTCAACCCACTTCCAGACCCTCCAAGACCATCAAATAGATTCCCAAATCCAGCTGATGGTCCTCCTTCTTGAGATTTTTTTTGTAAAATTCTCGATCTTTCTGCAATGATATACGCCCGCATTTGTGGATCGTGAATAGAATGCGGACAATTTTGTTCTTTGTGTGCCATATTTTGTCGCTGGATTTGCAATTGTTCCTGTCGATCTAACGACGATTTTTTCAACATCTCTATAAGTTGCTCATGTCGCTCTTAACTGACTTAAGCAAAATAGTAGTGTCTTCATCGTTTTTCTTCTTCAATAGGCTTTTTTACCCCTATTGGCCTGGTCGTTTTCAAAAATCTGACCCGGAATCAGTATCAACTTCTTTATTGAACGAAGATGACAATCCAGGTGATGAGGAAATTGGAGATGGTTGATGAGGGTCTGATTGGAAAGAGTCGTAATTAACTTGTCTTTTTTTTTGGAGCAACATGTCTTGCAGTTGACACATTATCTTTAAATTTTTCAAAAATTTTAATCATATCCCAAACATGTTCAAATTTAAAACCTTTAGAATGTTTTGGATCTTGCATAAATAAAACTCTAGCAAAATCCGCAAATCATAAAAATAAATTTGTACTACATAAAAGTAAATAAATTATTGAAAATTAAAATTATATTATACTTACAATATCTTTCTCAGAAGCACCACTTGGATTTAAATTCTCAACTTGCTTCACATACCTATTTAGCTTCCGTGTCTGAGTACTTATTGTATCCATTCTTGAATGAAGTGAACGTGTATTATGTTGCTCGTGATTTTGTTGACGTTGTTCATTGTACTTAGCCTCAACTCGTGACCAAAAATCATTTGCAGATTGATATCTGCCGATGATTGGTTCTTGAGTTATGTCTAAAATCTAAATACACTTGACACAAAAATGCGTCTTCAGCTATGGTGTAACTACTTGATCTTGAAGTCATTATGCTCGTAAAGGAAAAAAGATAGAACATAGATTGTGAGATAGATGTTTTGATGAAGTGTGATAATTCAGGACATCGGTATTTATCGAACGTACTTGTCACGCACTACTTACAATGTCAGACACAAATTGGTAGGGAATCATTACGCTACCCGTTGGATGGATTTCCTTTTCTTCACAACCGTCGGATTCTTATCTTTTGAGATAAGCGTACTTGCCACGCACTACTTACAATGTCAGGCACAAGTTGGTAGGTAATCATTACGCTACCCGTTGGATGAATTTCTTTTTCTTCACAACCATTAGATTATTATCTTTTGAGATAAGCGTACTTGTCATGCACTACTTACAATGTCAGACACAAGTTGGTAGGGAATCATTACGCTACCCGTTGGATGAATTTCCTTTTCTTCACAACCATCAAATTCTTATCTTTTGAGATAAGTGTACTTGTCACGCACTACTTACAATGTCTTTTGAGATAAGTGTACTACTATTAATATGAACAAATTAACACATCAGATTGATCACCACATAAAAAAATGAACTTCAATATTGGAGCGTCCTCTTACATATCATCGTCTTCTTCTTCTTCAGATGATGATGCTTTAGCAATGAACACTATAGCACAACTTGAAGAAGAAGAAGAAGAAATCATGATGGTGGCACTAAAAAACAACAACATGACAATAAGTCATTGTATTGATGAGCTGAATACGCCTATTAGGCATGGTGGATCTGTTCATGGTCATGTGGTGATAGACCGTGATCGAGAAATGAGAGACCATAATTTGTTCACGAACTGTTTCTCTCCAAATCCACGTTATGGAGAAGCATTATTTCGCCGACGATATCGTAGGTCGCGAGATTTGTTCCTACAAATAGTTGGTGCTGTTACAAATCATGACAACTATTTCCACCAACGAAGAAATGCAACAGGTAGACTCGGATTATCAGCTTTACAAAAAATAATAGCTGTATTTTATATGTTGGCATATGGTGTGCCTGCGGATGCAACAGACGAGTACGTTAGAATAGGTGAGTCTACGACAATTGAAAGTATGAAAAGGTTTTGTTGATCTATTGTCCAAATATATGGAGAGCAGTATCTAAGAAGACCTAATGACAATGACATAGCGAGACTTCTTGACATTATTGGAAAACAAAGTGGATTTCCAGGAATGTTGGGGAGTCTTGATTTGCATGCATTTGAAATGGAAAAATTGTCCAACAGCATGGGCAGGACAATATTCCGATCGTACTGGCTCACCAACTATCATCCTAGAAGCTGTGGCAGATTATGATCTTTGGATATGGCACGCATATTTTGGAATGCCAGGTAGTAATAATGAAGTTAATGTTTTAGAGGCATCCAATCTTTTTTCAGATTTAGCACAAGGAATTGCTCCTCCCGCTCATTATATTATTCAAGGAAAAGAGTATAATGTCGGTTACTATTTAGCGGATGGTATATATCCAAAGTGGTCAACACTTGTTCAAACAATTCATCAACCACAAGGTAGAAAGAAGAAATATTTTGCTATGAGACAAGAAGCATGTAGGAAAGATGTTGAACACGCCTTTGGAGTATTGCAATCCTGATTTGCAATTATCGCAGGACCTTCACGTTTTTGGGAGAAAAAAGTCTTGCACGACATAATGAGTGCATGTATTATTTTGCATAATATGATAATAGAGAATGAACGTGATATACATGCACCAGTTCCAGATGTTGAGGTGGCAGTTGATGAGGCGGCACGGTTCACTCAATTTCTTAGCCGATATAACCAAATTCACGACAAAGACGCTCATATTGAGTTCCGTAATGCTTTAATTGATCATTTGTGGAAACAATTCTCAAATTCCAATAACTAAACTAAGAATATTTATTTAATCTATTGTTTTAAGTTTAAGTAGTACTTTATTAATGACGTACAAATCATTATAATATTAGTGTAATATTTAATCTTATGTGGTTTTAGCTTGTATTTGTGAAATATTTATTATTGTATTTTAATTAGTGAAATGCGTGAAAATACATATTAAAATGGTGTATTTTAGTTTGTATGTGTGAAATGTCAAAATATTAAATGAGGGGCTAATGTATAAGTATATGATAATTAGATACTTAAATAGAAGAATGGTAAAAAGTTAGTAAAAAGAATAAAAAGGGAATACTCCTTTTTGGTGATGAAAATGGTGTAAACTGTTGGAGATAAAATATTGTATGATGTGATATTTACACCATTTTAGTGTAAAAAATGGTGTAAACTGTTGGAGATGGTCTTACACCTCTATCATCATGTATCAGTATCACCATCATAATCTAGTGGTTATTATGCCTTGTTGCGAATTCTCTTTTAAACATTATCCAACATTATAGAATTATAATATACTCAAGTTATGTAGTTGGCTACAGATTTATATCTAATCTAAAATCTTATAAACACCGATAAAGGTTAGGGTATTTTTCTAAAATCTTATACGCCGATGAAGGTTAGGGTATTTTGGGAATGATAAAAATGTTAGTGTAACACTAAAGCATAATGCACTTGTATAATTTGTTTTAGTCATTGTACCCTTCACCATT